GGGAATTAATATTAAGTTTAAACTCAGGATATTTTTAGTTAGGTTTTTTTTTTTTGAGAGAGAGTTATTTTTGCTATAGAGCACAGTTCCTTGCTGGAGAGATAGAGACAGGAAGTTAGAAAGCAAGATATCCCCCTCTTCCCTTCAGGGGGGATGGCCAGGCCACCATCCCTTTTCCATTCTCTTGGGGTTTTGGGCACGTGTGCACCTCATGAGTTTCAAGCAGCTGGTCCAGGACTTGAACTGCGGTTGACCAGGAGAAAGTCCAGCGCCTCACCCAAACTCAGGATATTCCAAGGCTGGGTAGAAAACAAGGGAATAATAGTGTTGAAAGCTGAGTCTGTAGACGACACACGGACTTCTATTAACAACATGTGGAACGCAATACCTCCTCTTAGGCTGGTTCACCATCAACTATATCTCCTTCTATTTCGTAATTCTCAAAACCAAAGCATTACTAAGTTACTCAAAGACTAAAAGTGAAAATGCTCTTCTCATTAACCAGAGAAGACTAAATGTTATGTTTTATACAAAGTTTTTTAATTCATTTTTCACAGTTGCCAGACGGTGTGCGTGCTTGCCAGAGACAGGCAAAGGAGGAAGCACCCTCCAGCGCAGTGCGGTCGTGCTGCAGTCCTGTCCTCTCAGGGCCAGCCCTGCGGCATCTGCTCCTTCGACGACTTTTCACTCGGCTGGCCTGAGCAGACAAGGTGCTTCCGTGAAAGTTTGCTAATCATAACACTTCATGGCTGTCTAGCCACTTTACATAGCAGCTGTACCTTCTAGGTCTCCCCGACAGTGTGTATACAAATGCCAGTTCCTCTGCATTTCCCCCCTTGCTTTTTATTGTCTTTTTTTTTTTTAAAGTTTATTTATTTCTTGAGTGTGGAAGGAAAAAATGAGAGGATAAGCACCCCCACCGGGTCCTTAATGCCTAGTCTCCCCGTCCCAGCCGCCACACTCATGGGCATTTATGTGTGTTCCCTGGGTTGGGCCTCGTGCTTCCTCCGTAGGGCTTCGGAGTCCTGAAGAGTCTGTCACTGCTGCGCCCGCGGCCCCTGCGTCTTTGGTTTTAGCCATGTCGGTACGAGCGGTCTGCTTTGTGCTCCTGGTGACTGACACTAGGTTTCTTTTTGTGGGCTTGTCGGTTATTTGTCAGCCGTCTTTGGAGAATGGAGTATTCAGATCTTCGGCGCATTAATAAATCATGTTCACTTTTTACTACTGTTGAGTTACATATTTCAGACATACTCTGTGGCATGACCACACCCTGCTGGGAAGCTTTTCCCTGTGTTAGATATATTCATTATAAATATTCGTATTTTCTCCTGTCCTGTTCTGAGTGTCATCTTCCTCGTGTTCTTGATGGTGCCCTTTGTAGCACAGCGGTCTTCAATTTCAGTGCTGTCCGACCTATTTCTTAAGTGATATTTGTCTTGCTTTTGATGTCGTGTCTAGAAAGCTGAAATCAGGAAGATTGAAGCCTGTTTTCTTAAGAGCTTTATAGTTTTAGCTCATTCATTAATTTTGATTCATTTTCAGTTACTTTTTGTATGTGGTATGTGGGGGAAGACCAACATGATTCGTTTTTATATGAAATAACCCAGTTGTGCCAGCACCACTTCTTTTCTTTTAATATCAGAGGATGTATGCATGTGCGAGTGTGTGTGCGCGAGCATGCAAGAGACAGAGAGAGGAGAGAGAGAGAGCAGGCACCACCTCAGTGAGGCCTGGCACGTCTCAGTCCTCTAGTTCTGGTCCCTCGGGATCCTGGGCATGCCTGTATTTTTCAAGCTGTCGAGACCATGACTCCCATCCTGATTAGCCATGTGGGTTCTGGCTTGCTTTATGGAAAGTCTAACTGCAGAGACACTTCTAATGAAGCTTACCACAGTAAATGGCATTACTGTTTAGCAGGTAAGACAGGCCAGAAATCTCGCCTCTTTCTTGTGATCTGTCTAGATCTAGTTCATCAGGTCCGTCAGTTCTGCACCCCACTACCCTGGTACAAGCTTCACTTATCTCTTCTTTAGACTTAGACGATAGTGTCCAAATTGATAGATCCTTACTACTCTTACCTTGATTATTTTAGTTTCCAACTTGTATCATTTATTCTTTTTCAGTTTTCGCTTCTTTAGCCTGTTTTTGTACTAGAAACCCTCTTGGATTCTTGAAACATTTTATTTCCTTTTATTTTTTTAAGTTGCCAGAGAGCGTGTGCACTCACCAGGGCGGGGGAAGGGAGAGGAAAAGCACCTCAGGCTGCAGTCCCCTCTGCCTCTCCACCGTCCTGGGGAGCGGGAGCCCCTGCGCACATGCCATGCTCTCCACGCTGGTGCAGCTGGGCAGGCTGCAGTCCCCTCTGCCTCTCCACCGTCCTGGGAGCGGGAGCCCCTGCGCACACGCCATGCTCTCCAGGATGGTGCGGCTGGGATTTGGGCCGTGGTCAGCCGCGCCGGCTCCAGTTTCCCCAGCCACCAGACTGGGGCTACCCCGTGAGCTTCCTCCACGGCACCTGCTAGCATGTCTCCCTCCTCCCTGTGTTACTCTGGGGATTCCGGCTGGTAACTGGGAGAACTGCCCCTTTCTTTATCTGAGGTGAGCTCGTCTACGAATACACAAGCTTCTATTTCTTCTCATGGAATCAAGGACTTGGCTTTATTAGTTGTCCCCAGCTCTCTCCTGCATTAGTTTTTCCTCTGTCAGATCATTGTGGTAAACATAGATATGCTGTAAGTCTATCTTAACAACAAAAAGAAACTTTAAAAATTCCCTTTTCTGGGAAAAGTAATTCTGCTTTTTAAAAATATTTTTACTATAGGGCGTATATGCTTGCCAGAGAGATACAGAGAGACAGCAAGAGAGAAATTGCTCCCAGGGGTTGGCTTGCTGCAGTCCCTTCTCCTTTGTCCTCCTCTCAGGACTTTGGGCATGCACTTACACACACTCGGTTTTGGGCATGCACTTACACACGCCCAGCATGAGTTTTAAGCTGCCGGGCCTGAGACTTGAATCTTGATGGACTACATGGGAGTCCAGTGACATAATCATTACGCCATCTGCCGGTCCCTGGGAAAAGTAATTCTTACAAAAGGACAGCTGTAAAGTGCGGAGACCTCTGCAGCAGGTACTCGAGAGTGCGGAGACCTCTGCAGCAGGTACTCGAGAGTGCAGAGACCTCTGCAGCAGGTACTTGAGAGTGCGGAGACCTCTGCAGCAGGTACTTGAGAGTGCAGAGACCTCTGCAGCAGGTACTCGAGACTGGGTAATGTCCAGGACGCACAAGCAGTAAATGGGCTGGTGAGGAGCCTCTCAGAGTGCGTTCAGGAGACAGAACAACGAAATGGAGGTTAACTTTCCACTCGAGGGGCCCTTCTAAGCCCTTGTGGGTTATAATCCATTCTATTTCCCTTAGCAGAAAAGCATGCCTTGTTACTGCAAATCATTTACTCCACTGCAGTAAACTCTTCAGAGTGTACTTGGATAACGCGTCTCCCTGCACAGTTCTGGGTTGGAACGAGGCAGATAGCCACACACACACACACACACACACACACACACACACACACACACACACTGACAGCAGAACTGCTCAAATGAGGACAGTTTTTCAGCACATACCTGGACAGGAGCGGCCAGGAGACCCACGTGTGTATCCGAGGTCCAGCTCGTGTCCACGTGTGGGATGATCTGTGTGATAGTGGCTCACCTTCATTTCTGGGGTGTTTGTGGTTCAGATTTAAAATAAGGGCGTTTCATTGGCTCTAAAATGTGCCGCTTTTACTCATTTCCCATTTTTTTCTCTAAAGCCTTCAGTTTCTTAATTATGTAAAAAAGTGTTATTAAATCAAGACTTTGTTTTGTGTGAAGGAAAGGTAATATCTCCAAATTTCCTTAGATGTTTTCTTTTAGCCATTAATATCTTGTCATTAAAAGTGAAAAATACTGTCTGCTCTTTGCTTTTTTAATATTAGAAAATGTGTATTTGGCTATTCTAGAAATTTGCTTATATCAGGGCTTTTTTTTTTTCTCCCGGCATTTGGAGTAAATGGAATATTCTTGATGCATAAATGCTCTATAACAACACTTTGTTAATAACAGATTCCTAAGTTCTGATTCTTTCATCACATTGTTCTTAAGTGTTGCTTAAAAAAGTTCAGGGAACTATCTTATTCTAAAAATGTCGATGATCCAGGTTGAAAACATTTCACCTGGAAGCATAAACACTTGTGTTTTGAAGCAGGTCGGTCCTTTGAAGTTTGAGTTGTATTTTGATGAAGTCATGTGTGGCCACTGAAGTGTTTCTTCTCTAAACTTCCAGCAGTGGAACTTGTGTTTCTCTTTCACAGTCACTCGTAACTTTGTCTACAAAGAACCTCAGCTTAGAACCCAGAACAAGTCTGTGTTGGAGATGCATTTCTAGTGCTGCTTCTGAAGCTACCTCAAGTAGCGTGGGGTTGCCACCCTCTCAGACTCACCTGCTTCCTACAGCCCCTCACTGCCCCGTGTACCCTCTGTCCTCTGCCTGTTGCTTCTTTTTGTTCTCTTTCCCGTAGTTTGAGAACAGGTCTGTGGTCGGACTTGTGGTCATGATGCTTGGGGAGAGTAGCCGGTGTTTCCCTTTCTGGGTAGGTAAGACGAGCTACTGAGGGGAGAAGGGGAGCAGCTCAAGTGGAGATGGCTTAGTGGTGCCCGTCCGTGTGCGACTTGGTGAGTTTGTTAGAGGAGTCAGGCTCTGCTGGACAGACGTCTGTTTAAGCACCTCTTTATTTAGCGTAGAGACCTGGTGTCCTAGCCGGCACTGGGGGCCTACCTTTTGAAGTGCCGTTTTTGAAGAAATAGCCTGTGGGTAGTATAACATTGCCTCATTAGGACTAGATAGATTACTCTTGGAAGTGTTTTTCTAGCTGGAAAATAAGTTGATGTGAATGTTTGGATTTGCATTTGGATTAGAATTGTTTGGCATTTTCTGATATTTTTCCTCTGCTTTTGTGTCCTAGGTTGCACGTTTTCAAAAAATACCTAATGGTGAAAATGAAACAATGATTCCTGTATTGACATCCAAAAAAGCAAGTGAATTACCTGTCAGTGAAGTTGCCAGCATTCTCCAAGTAAGTGTTTCCAAAAAAGTAAGTGTTTGTTCGGGAGGGAAGGAACAGTGGAAGCAGTCACTCAGACTGTCAGTCGGTGCAGCCCAGTGAGTCCCCTCAGGATGGAGGTACCCTGGCCTGTGCTGCCCAGTGAGTCCCCTCAGGATGGAGGTACCCTGGTCGGTGCAGCCCAGTGAGTCCCCTCAGGATGGAGGTACCCTGGCCGGTGCAGCCCAGTGAGTCCCCTCAGGATGGAGGTACCCTGGTCGGTGCTGCCCAGTGAGTCCCCTCAGGATGGAGATACCCTGGCCGGTGCAGCCCAGTGAGTCCCCTCAGGATGGAGGTACCCTGGCCTGTGCTGCCCAGCGTAGTAACCAGGAACGTGACTGTTGACTGGGCGTGAAATGTGTGGTGAAAGCTGACGGAGGTGCGCATGACTGTATTCCTTGAGAGGTGGCTAGGTGGCAGAGACCAGATTTAACTTTATTTATTTGAATAGCCGTAGGCTACCTAGTCGGGCAGTACAACTCTAAACCACTACACTCTTTGTACTGGGTAAGGATTCGTCAGATTAGAAAAATCATCGCTATAACAACATAAGTAGTGTTAGATGTTTATCTTTTTTAATAAGGTCTTTCTAAGACAAAGTAAAAGCTAACTGCAAGTTCAGAACCACAAACATTAATTGCTTATGTAATTGTATTTCTTTCTAGTTTTAAAAAACAGAAGCTATTGAAACATCAAGAAAGGAAATTTAAAAACATTTTTCCTTTACACGTTCATATGTTTCGATGATATTAAAAACATTGGTATCTGTTTTTGGGATTTAAGAAAATTTGGTTGCTGTATTCATACCCTGTTAAAATAATTTGTTTTTAATATATTTAATTTTTTTTAAAGAAATAATTATTTATTTATTTCCATGTGTTGTTGTTATTTTTTATTTTGACCAGAGAGAGAAAGGGAGAGAGCAAGCCACCAGGTCTGAGATTGCAACAGAGTCAGCCATGTGGGAGTCCAGCCTCTTAACTGCCATGCCACCTGTTGGCCCCAGTGTGTTTAAATTTTGGAAGACTCCATTATTAAACTCTAATAAAGGTTTTGGCCAGGAAGACTAGTTATTTTGGAAATGTAGGTTATTTCATTCTTCTTCTTTTTTAGAATTTTCTATTTAGATTTTAGTTATTCATTCATTTATTTTTATTTGACACAGAGAGAGACAGAGCAAGAGAAGGAAAGTGAGAAAGCAAGTCACCAGGTCCAGGACCCAAACCGTGGTTGGCCTGTGGGAGTGTCCAGCCCCTTAACCTCCATGCCACCTGCTGGCCCCATCAGTTCATTCTTGAAAGTTGGTTTTGTGATAAAGTATGAGAGACAACTGAAGATTGTAGGTGGAGTCCATAGAATATAAAATGTACAGAGTATGACTTTGTCTTAACTTCATTGCTTTGAGTAATTTAGGAAGCAGACATTGTTAGCCTGAACTAATTACACAGTCAAAGAGCAAAACTACTACAAAGCTCATTGTTTCAGTAGGCACCAAAACAAGTCATTCATAGCCCATTGAGTATACTTTTGGAGAAACTAATTTTAGAAAACAAAAAAAAGCTAATGAAAACGTACTGGTATTTTACTTTCTATAATGACTGGTTAGTACTGTTCCTTTTTCCCCATAGGAAACTTAAATGATTCATTAAACACTACTTATCACCTGCATTTTTTAAAGACAAATTCTTTCCAGACTTTTTTTATAAATAAAATAATTATTTAATTTTATTTATTCATTCATTTATTTTAATTTGACCAGAGATAGAGGGGGAGGAAAGGGGGGGGGAGAGAGAGAGCGAGAGAAAGCAGATCACCAGGTCTGGGATTTGAACTGCAGTTGAACGTGTGGGAGTGTCTGGTGCCTTAGTCATTGCTGGCCCTGTCATCTGCATGTTTAGAACAGTCTTTTATTGAGGCATAATTTACATAAAATACAATGCAGCTTTTTGTTTTGTTTTGTTTTGCTTTTTTAAGAATTACTTAGCTTTTACTATTTTTAAACTTGATGAGAGAGAACGTGAGAAAGCGAGACCTCAGATCCGGGACACCACGCCACTTGCCAGCCCCAGGGCACTTACTTCAAGTACAGTCTCCATGTTGACAAATGTAACCACGCTCCTAGTTCAGATAATAGAACTTTTAAATAGAAGTTTGTTTACTTCATGTGGGGGAGAGACAGACAGAAACCCTCAGCAGGGTCTCAAACTGCACGTGGTGTGTCTAAATACCTGATGTGTTAAAAGTTGACGGTTTAATTGAACCTTGATGTTCAGTGGCTTCTAACCTCGCAGAACCGCATACCTCCACTGCAGCTAACCTGCAGAGCGTTTGATCAGTCCAGGAGCTCTGCGTGCCTTCGCAGCTTATCCACCACTGTGTCAGCCTCGCCCCAGCCAGCCACTGAAGAGCTTTCTGTCCGCGCAGGCTAGTTCTGGCTGTTGTGGAAGTGATCGGTGTGATCACACCGCGCGTCTGCGTCTGCGTCTGCGCTTCCTTCTCTCGTTGTGGTCTAACGTGCCCGCTAACTTGGTGTGTGAAATCCAATAGGCCGATCTTCAGAATGGTCTGAACAAATCTGAAGTTAACCATAGGCGAGCCTTCCACGGCTGGAATGAGTTTGACATCAGTGAGGATGAGCCGCTGTGGAAAAAGTATATTTCTCAGGTGAGTTACTTTTATTCTTCTCTCTGCTGAGTATTTGGATGTTTGTTAGGCAGTTCTTTACTTTATAGGGCTGTTAATGGAGGGGAAGTAACTATTTAAATGCCTTTTATTTAACCATTTCTACTTGGCAGGGTTTACTGTTATGTTGGAATTCGTGTAATTTTTGTTGTGTAAAGTTTCTTTCCCCCCGAAGAGAAAGGAGTTTTTAAAGGATTTGGCCATAGGGCGTGCGTGCTTGCCAGAGGGGGAGACAGTGCTAGAGAAAGTGAGAAATCATGCCCTGGTGGGGATGGCCACACCACAGTTCCTTCTCCTCTTGGGATTTTGGGCATGGGCACACTCGCGCCCAGCATGATTTTCTTTTTTATTTTTTTTGGAGAGATTTTTGCCATAGGGCGTGTGCGCTTGCCAGACAGAGAGACAGAAAGTGAGAAATCACCCCCCAGGGGAGATGGCCACGCCACAATCCCTTCTCCTCCGTTCTCCTCTCGGGATCTTGGGCACGCACGCACCCGCGCCTGGCGTGAGTTTTAAACCACCGGGTCCGAGATGCGAACCACGGTTGACTACGTGGGAGTCCAGCGACATAGCCATTACACTAACTGCCAGCATGATTTTCAAGCCTTCCGGTCCGGGACTTAAACTGTTGTCAGTTATATGAGAGTCCAGTGCCTTAACCAGCATGCCATCTGTTGGCTCCCTGTTCTATAAATTTTAAAACGCAGCGTTTTCTCTGAATATATCGGGTCATTGGAAAAGTCATGATATATTTCTGCATAGAAAAACATAGAGAAATTGGTTGTGATTTTTCCGACCACCCAGTATCACATAAAGGTGACACTGTTGACAGAGGTTTCCTTTGAAAATACTGATTTTAACAGTTTTAAATAGTAGCAATACTGATATTTCAATGTAATCAAGTCTGACTTTGAGAATGAGTGAAGCTATGTCGTTTAAATCCGGACTGTCTGGGTACAGGCACTGGGAGCACTTGAATGCCTAAGAGAGCCCTGAAGGCCGGTCCCTATGTCTGAAGTTCTGATTTGATTGGTCTGGTGTGAAACTGGGTACTGGCCTGTGTTCGTAGTTCTTCATGTGATTCTGGTGTGCAGGAGGGTTCCAGCTGCTGCTCAGGGATTAGAGCTCTGGGGGGAGCGGGTGGTATCTCCCCCAGGAGCTGTGGTGTTTGGGGGGAGGCCGTGCTGCGATGACACCTCATACCCAGGAACCTCAACAAGATGTGCTGCACGAGCAGGGGAGGTGGGGGGGTCCGAGCTGTGAGAGCAGGCATCTAACTGGGTCTGAGTGTGTAAGAGCGGGGGTCTCACTGGGTCCGAGCTGTGAGAGCAGGTATTTCACTGGGCCCGAGCTGTGAGAGCGGGTGTCTAATGGGTCTGAGCTGTAAGAGCGGGTGTCTCACTGGGCCCGAGCTGTGAGAGCGGGTGTCTAATGGGTCTGAGCTGTAAGAGCGGGTGTCTCACTGGGCCCGAGCTGTGAGAGCGGGTGTCTAATGGGTCTGAGCTGTGAGAGCGGGTGTCTCACTGGGTCTGAGCTGTGAGAGCGGGTGTTTCACTGGGTCCGAGCTGTGAGAGTGGGTGTCTCACTGGGTCCGAGCTGTGAGAGCGGGGGTCTCACCGGGGGTGCGGC